TCTAGAGTGGATGACCAACTTCACTGTTACCGGAATTCGTTAATGGCAGACCTAAAAATTATAAGTGCATTATGGTTGTCACGGATCCATGAAATTTCAAAGCATAATAAGTGTGAATTTGCTCACGAAGAATGTATGGTAGACAACTCGAGACGTGATGTATCTTAACTGTACCAGACAAATCACGTGTTGATTGCGTAGCCATCTTTGATAAGGAAGTACAAGAGGCTGCAAACAAATATAATTTGATTTCAGAACTATAGTTTTAGCTGAGCTTTTGCCTTAGATTCTATGACTAGCATCCTCCACAGTTTTATTTTGCTCAATTTAAACTGAGAATTAGATGTCTTGCCTCGCTTATTTTTCGAGCGAACTCTTCGGTTTGTAAGGATATGGACTTTCTGTTAATAGCTAGAGTTCATTCACGTTGTCTGGATTGAGCTTTGCTTCATTGAGCACTGCGTGTTTGCTGGTAGTACTCGTAAGCAAAGGTACAGTCATCCGGGAATGGCAAACATTCATTCGCTAGTGTTGCCTGCGTGGCGGTCGCGCATTTGTGTAGAAACTGTGAATAGTGAAATATGTCAAATCGCACCAGCCACCTACTCAACCGACCACATGGTCACTATAAAATCAAATAGTCCTTGTCTCGCGGGATGCTTCGTGGGAATTAGAAGATGATGGCAAGAGAAAAAACAGAATGTCGAGTGACCTGTTCTGGTGCATTCGCAGGAGTTGGATTTGACCGTTTTTACTGGCCTCATCGCCACCACAACTGGGTCAGTTTCCAGGCTGAGTTCCCCTTAGAGTCTGTTTGCTCCGTTTACCGAGACCCTTTGTGCGCAACCATCGCGCCATCATCAGGATTTGGTGTGAACCTTGCATTTTTTGCTACTGAGGGTAGCCAACAACCTGAAGCACACCTCCCCCCACCCATTCCACACCCTTACTACGGTGACATGACCTCCGTTGTGCTATGCAGGTAATGTCTGCTCACTTGGTGGCCTGCCGGATGTAACGACTTGACCCATGCTTTTCAACTCTCTATTCCACAAAGAGAAGGTGGTCTCAGTCCGAGCTTGAGACTATATGCTGATCTCACCGACATTTGCTGCAAAGTAAATGCACCAGCGAAAGAAAAAGACATCCATTGAGGTTACGTTAAGCATGAGGTTGTTTCAAGTCTTTAAAATAAATTAAAGAGGGAACTTATTGATTGCCTAGATTTTATTCTCTACGGCACTATAAAACATATGGTATACTGTCAAATAATAGCAGTATCGAGTGGACACTTGTAACTTAAAAACAGTAGTGGATCGAAAGGGATCCCGCAAAAATGAAAATACTTCCTGTGTAAGATTTACGCATCCTTTCAATATGAAACCGGTTGAGTTTGTCTGGACTCATTCAGAGGTCCGATATAACCAACCGTAGCGAAACTCCTCCAGGAAGACGGTACCACTTCTGTTATATCCGTGAATCTACAGAGTGCTGTTTTATTCTGATGTCAAACATTTCCTAGTGGCAGAGTCAAAATGACAAAATCAGTGAGGCTAACTGGCGCTTCTGATCCTCTTACTCCACTCCCTTATTTCGACTATAAGCCCGAGTCCTTGTTTGTAATTACAGGCCACCATTTAAACATTCCATTTTAAACAATTTAAGTTATTCAAGTTTCTGAGAAATGAAAATTAGATAGAAGTTAAGTTGGTAGCCCCAGAATTCTGTCTTACGGGACCGGTGGTATTAGTTTTGTCTAGTTTTGAGCTTATTATTTAGTTGATTCGTTTATTTTTAGTTTTAGTTAGTTTAGTTAGATCTAAAAGTAACCATAGGACTAGGGGCCAGGAATATCTAAGTTGGGTGAACAACTTAACTTTTGCCAAAAACTAGACTGTCTTGCAATAGGTTCATCGAAAAGTTCTGATAACGAAACTTCGGATTATGTGTGACCGCAGAACATCTAAGAGCTAGTGCACTGGAAACGGTGGGTTGTCGCAACAAAGCCAACAATCTATGACCTTGGCCATTGGACTGGGTGCTATGGCTAGGCAGGCATCGGTATTACAATTTGAGTTTCGGGGAGATTTCTGTGTGAGACTTCAAACTAGAGTTTGTTGTAAAATTTTGGACTTACTGCTCAGACGCATCCGCTCGATTTACCACCCTATTTCACCGAAAATTAGCGTTTGTTGCACGAAAACGTCTCAGACATGTAGACTTGAGGATGAAATGCTAGGTATTTTTAAATGGCACTTAAGAAACGGAAAATACGAGCGGCACTGCAGGTCCCTATCATGTCTCAGTTGAAAAGGCAATTTTAAAACTAATGGCTTTAGTTCGATTCGAAGATCTTCTCGTGCTGGGATTAGACTAGAGCAGATTGACGATGGCACACAGATCACGAACTGTCCTTGCGGTACTTCTTTTTGTGCCATTAAACACTGTCTGATTCCCTTCAGATTAGAATTTTCCGTAAAATGCAGCCATCTCTGACAGGCGCTACGGCTAATGTGGCATGTTCTAAATTACTGTAAAATCCCGGAGTCTGTTACTTCGCATAAAATGAGCATGAAACTTTTCATTATTCCCGAAGTTTAGATGAGAATGTAGAAGATTATCCTGCTTTTCTCGTTCCGTAATCCACTTAAAGACCCGACTCCTGAAATTTATCAGTAACCGTCCATTAGTTTAGTATTTGCTACAATTTGAATCACCGTTGTAGTGGCTAGGCCTACAACATGTATAAAAAATGGATTAGAAAAGGTGCAACGAAAACTTCCAAGCGTAGAGCTAACTTGCAGTAACTAAACTACCGCAATACGCTAGTGGAAAAAGTGGAAAACTGTATAGAAATGACAATAAAAACGTGAACGATGCGACTCACTAGATCCCCAACGATCCTTGATAGTATTAGACAGAGAATTTACTTGCCGAAGGATGGATATGTAAATGTTGGGATCTTGGGTCGTTTGTCCGAAGTCGGAGGAGTTGCAAGGAAACTCGCGTTCAAATAACCGTCAGTTGATCCTGAGCCCAGAGATGATCACAAGAGAATGGTGTCGTTGACGGGCGAAGATAACAGAGACCGCTGAGATGGTATGATGCAGGAAATGCAGGAGAGTAAGCAGGAATGCTCAAAACGCGCCACGTGCGGTGGTTACCGGAAATGTGTGTATTTCGGACCAGTTCGTCGAAAACAAAAGTGCGTAGGATTTAAACAAAAAAATATCTGAATTGAAAGGTACAAGGATAAGAGAAAGACCTACACCACGGATTATTAACGGGCTGCTGTTCGGAAGTGATATAGATTGAACAGCGATAATACGCCTTATTATTTCAATTTAATATCAGATTTTCCTATTAAGCTACATATAAGTACGGCAATTAGTCACTTCAAGAGGCGTCAGATTGTACGAGGATATCTAAAAGAACTTAGAATTAAAGTTAACTGTGCAATTAAAATATGGGATTTGATAAGAAAACCAATAAGGACAGCTTTTTACCTTTATCTGAAGTACTTGTACTGTAGACCCTCTCTCTCTCTTTAATCCCATTCGGACAGCTGCAAATGTCAGTTAAGTGCAATCCTGGAAAATCGTAGAAAGCTATCTCAAGTTCAAAAACATCACTAGCTCTTTTAACAATGCCCCTGATTGTGTGTGAATTACCTTGTGATTCGGAGACCGAGGTCTGATGCTTTTCCGATTGATCGCCGCCGGTCATCTTTTGCCCGCTAACTAAATCCACCTGTAGCAATCTAATACGTTTACCAAAAGTGAAAATTGGTAGTAGAATTGCAATTGCTGGTCTATTAGCCTTTATTAGCCAATGTCACTACAAGCTAAGCCGTCTCTAACATCTTGCTCATACCCTATGGCAATCAAAAAAACGTGAACAGGGCAGTCCATGCGGTTATATCTTTTTACCTTCAAGGTCCAGTGATCCACAGGACCTGGTCTCAAATTTCAGGTCTCACGTCAGCACTTGAGGTTTGGACCTCACTAACTAATAAAGCCAATAAACCAGAAATTATTATAGCACTGCCCATTTCTTTTGGTAAAAATTCTGCAGTAAGAACTGCGTATGTGTCCGCCCCGGCAGAGCATGGGAACAGGAACCACCTGCAATAGAAGTTAGCTTGCGTTAAATTTCAGGAGAATATCGATTAGAACTAAGGCTATGGTGAAAGTTAGGTTTAGGGTTAAGGTGAGGCTGGGGTTACGATTAGGCTCAGTGTTGATGGCGGGATTAGGGTTAAGTTTGGGATTACAGTTGAGATTTGTAATGGGTTACGGGAATATTTATCCTTCCTGGAATCTAGCTCAACGCCACTTTTATTAAGTGAGGACGTTCCTATTCTCGTTTCTTGCTGGGGAAGGGGGCGCATATAAGCTATTCCGATCAATTCCTTTATCAATGCTTTGTAGTTGCTATATGATCACCTGCGTGCACTGTATACCCTCAGCAAAATGAAAAGGCGCACTCCGCTTTATATTGGGAGGAACGTGCGAACACTACTTCCTTACTAAGCTTAACTTATGTGAGGGGTGAGAGGTTTCTATGGAATAGCGGTTATAAAGCAGTGGCCTCATTTGTTATTAGCGGTTTCTTAGGATCTTCGAAACGAAAACAAAATTTATCTTTGTGCCATGGTACGACTTATCAATAATGTTGGGATTCGTTCGGGAACAGCAAACGAAACATCTCTCTACATATAAGCCCCTATTTTTTCTTCTTTTGCTCGAATTTAATCTCCCGCTGCCATTGTGCAACCAAAAATCATCAATTTGTGCTACCTACCTCAAATGAAACCATTTTGCTCGAACAGACACCAACTTGCAGAGCATACCAACGTAGAAAGCAGTCATTTGCCTTCCAGTCGTTCAATTTTGTTAAAACGGAGGTCCAGCCGTTGGCATGCAATGGGACCTTTGGGCTTAAAAAACTGAACGTGCCTTGGAGTTCCGACGAACCAGCTGTTTTTGGCTTACTTCCTCTCATGGTTTCGAGAACTCAGCGAGTACAATGGCCTCACACCGACGTTTCGTTGGCCAACAGAGCTCTAGCGATCTTTTGCGTCCAAACGTACTCATCCTGTCTTTGTCCTTTGAAGCGCTGTTAGGACCACACGCATCGCCCGCTGGTCGGCACCAAGCGATGGGACGATAAGCGATGAGCAAAGTGGCTGCGACAAAAGATGCGTTTGGCCTTACGGAGGCATGCTGGATGCGCAAAGTGTCAGACTTGCGGGCGCCCATAGCAGCGGGGGCGGGAGGGGTGTGGGAATGG